GTAAATGAGAAAAACGCCCTTTTGGAGGCAATATAAAATCCGAAAGCATTCAGTTTTTTTTTAATCATTTTATAAAATAAATTATTGAGACCAATCAAATTATTAAAAAACATGCATTTTCTACTAACAAAAACAGTCATTAACAATGCATCTAAACTATTCACGCTTACATAGTAGCATATCAAGTGTTTTGAGTACTGAAAATTTAACTGTGATTAAAATTTATACTCATAAAAATTTAATAATGAAAGATTAAATAGTGTAAACAGTAATCCAATTGAATACAAGCAAAAATTTTTAATTGTTGATCATGACTGGTCCAGCGATTTTTCCGATTTGCTCACATTATCGTTTTTTTACTGACCGTAAAAAAAACATTATGTAGGAATACCATTTTACTCTTTTAGAACATTAATACGCCGAGTTAATAAACACTATAGCAGTGATAATACTGCTAAAAGATTTTAGCAAAAGAAACAGAAATTTTTTATTAAGAAATTGGAAAACGACTATTTCAAATTAATGCTTAAATATTATACACTTATTCATATAAAATATTGCTGAAAAATTTAAGGAACAACTCTGTTTTCAAAGATTATAACTTTAAAACTGAATAGGAGAGCCTAGGATGATTTGTTAACTATAGATATTGTTGCACTTTCAAATATCGACATCGTACACGCTCAAATTTTGATATCTTTTCTAAGCAGTTCTTTTAAAGACGTATAAACGGTACTTTTGTTTTATCCTATTTCTCTTCGAGACTCTTTCCAGTTCCTGATTTGAGTTATTTTGAGTGTGGTAAAGCAAACGAGAATTATCTGAAAAAAGAGAGCGATGCCTTCGTGGAAGACCTTTCTAAGGAAAATGTTTTCTAAGATAAGTTTACTAAGCGTATTCGCGTTACGTATGGGTAAAACTACTGAAACAAAACATGCAGCGAGCTCTTTCGCTTAAGTTCGATCTTGGGAGAAACTACCAGAATTGATCTGTCTTTAACCGTTAGGGCTGAAGTTTCTGAATGAAAGTAAATCTTTTCCTGGAGTCTTGGGAGGTTAGATGAGGGCAACAACCAGGTGTCTTACTTAAGATTTCTAATTCCGATAATGATACATCTAGAAAAGGACAACTTCTTCGACTACTATAAATTAATTACCAGTGAGTAATTGACCTTTTCGTCTGCAATTCTCTCTTTAGTTGTAACTCATTAGGCGTGGTCAAATGTACGTTTTAGATTTTAATCTGTGGTCGTTTAAGTTGACTGTAGCCAGGGCAATAACTTGCAGACATTTAGGAAGCAGCTAACGAGCAGAATTTTAAAGTTAGTCAAGTGAGTAAAGATTAAATTAATTTATACCTTGCTGTTAGCAATTCTAGGCTAGCTTTGATCTGCACTGAAGTTTTGGTATTGGTCGAATTGAGGGGTTGAGATTCGAATCAAATGTAAACATAGAATGGCCGCCACAGAGAAGTATTAGGCTTAGCGGCACTTAAACACTTTAAAAATGTTGATAATTCTAAAAATATTGCAACAGATTACTAAAGGCATAAAAACCTAACCGGAAGGAAATACAAATGATACAATCATTATAAAGAAAAAAATGTGAATTACAAACATACAGAGAAGAAGAAAAACTGAGATCACTGAGCCGGGTAACAGAGTGGATAATATATAAAATTATTTATTACGTAGGCGCGGCCGATTGCAACCAAAATACGAGGTGACACTACATGTCATAGAGTCCTATATAGAAAAATTTCAACGTTCTGAGGCTACTCGTTTTTGATTTATCGAATACGTACGCGTACGCACGTGCATACATACGTTCGTACAGACGCCAAGAAAACTTCTCTTCAGAATTAATTTTTAAAGCAGTTTTAATTTTTTGAAGGAAAGAGTATTTATTCTGTCTACGTACAGATATCACGCAAAAACTCGTAAATTGCATTCGATAGCGGTTAAAAGTGGATATTTCGTTGAAATTGCTGCTGAACTTTCACGATTACAATACTTCCTTTTTACTTCGTACAAGGAAGTAATAAATAAATGTAAATATATAAATAAAAAATAATAAGTATAATTTAAATAAAACTCCGGAGCTCATTTTATTTGGGGCTATAGTGGGAATTACGATTTTATATTAAAGACTGATAGTTAACCTGAGCCGGAATTCGGGTGAATTTAAGCTGTGGTATTACATATATTACATACATAAGTATACTATTAATATCAAATTCAATAAGTAATATTAAATAAATATTACCTTCAAAGACTGTTAATTCAGAAAAATAATCCAATATTTCTTCGATGGGACGACTAAGCTGCTAACTGAATGAAGCTAAACTGCTTAAGCTGATAAACTGAATTGAAGAACTTGACAAACTTCAGTAATTTGTGGAATAGGTGACAAATACTATGCCGCCAGGCGATTGAGGGCCAATGGTCATGAAGGTCATTTTTGTTGTTGACAGTACACAAAGGGTTCGTCTCCGGGTTCACAACACCTGCTGCTGGCAGAGTATATGAGAATTACAAAAACACATTTCGCAACTTGCAAATCGGTGCACAAGGGAATTATCATGGGTAGTTTTCTGATTCTGCTTCCTGCAGAATTAAAAAGCTGCCTATTCTCTTGATAAAACCGGAAGACTAAAGATTTTTTATCACATTTGCTGGACTTGCTGTGAATCATGAAATCTCAGATCCTGATCACAAACTTTTGAAAGGAGAAGAAAATTTTAGGAAGAAAATGAAAAGTTTGATTAACAAAATTAAAAAAAAGGCTGCACTAGTATTTCTTTATGAAACATAAATTGTGCACACTCCATTTCCTCAACTCTGCTAATTCTGAGCAATAATATAGCACAATAATCAGCCGTTATAATCAGAGTAATAATCAGCAATAATTTTCAGCACAGTTTTTCAAACTAATTTTTAACTTCATCCGAACTGTTATTAATTCATTATAGAGATCTGCAGAACGGTGCATGAAATCTTAACTAGAGTTTATTAAGTAAATGTTTGTAATTTGTTTTAAATCGATAAATTACACTAAACTTCTCTCCACGATTATATGGATATTAATTACTAACTGTTATTATTTATTTAAGGTTAAAAGTATGATAATATACACCCTATTTCCTCCATTTTACTTCCTTGTACGAAGTAATCGAAGTATTATTGTAATAACAAAAAAATTCCGGATATCATATTTAAAAGAAAATATCCATTTTGACCGCTATAGAATGCAATTTAATGATGTTTTTGCGTGACGTCTGTATGTAATAATACTCTTCAATGCAAGTTAGTCATAATTTTACAGTGCGAAATACGGTTCAATAAAGTCACTTCAATATGTGAACACATCAGCACACGGACTGAAACTATATACAAAATTTATTTTCAAAATTTTAACTATTTTAAATTACTCTCAAATGAGAGTTCAAATCATTATTACCCACTCAGTCGGTTCTTGCTACAATTTCTTCAGAACAGAGTGCAACTACAGGGTTGCCAAAAAGTACAAAGTCTAGTTATGCGCTTCAGCGCTACCTAACGGCAGTCACAACAGTACGTACGGACAGAATAAAGGACTCTTTTTCCCAAAACGGATTATAAAATGGTTTTTTTTCCGTGACGTCTATACGTACGTGCGTATACATATTTCGCATAACTCAAAAACCAGGAGCCTCAGAACGTTGAAAGTTTGTATATAGTACTGCTATAACATGTAGTTGCGCACCTCCCTTTTTGTTTCAAATCGGCTGCACCAAAAGTACATAAATATATACACCCACTATGTTATTCGGCTCGATGTGATTTTCATTATTTTTTCTTATATGTTGGTAAACTGTGCATTTTTTGCTTTAAAAATGATTGAATTATGTTGTTCTTATCTTCCGGTTAAGGTTTTTATGCCTTTAGTTAATCTGCATGCAGTGGTTATAGAATTATCAACAATTTAAACGTTGTTTAAGTGCGACTAAGCCTAACTGCGCAGCCATATTTGTTTACATCCGAAACTTAGCAGAATAGTCAATTAAGCCAGTTTTTGTACCTTCAATGTCCTTTTGCCGAGTGAGGCCAAAGTAAACTTTTAGTTTTGTGCACCGAAAAATCTGCCTTCATGCTCGCTGGCGGAATTATTTGTTTTTTCGTAGAAATTTTAGTTTTAGTTTTAAAAATTGTTTTTTTAACTGTATTTGGCGTTTTATGGTTTTCTATGATTTTCAATTTTTAATGAAGATGTTTTGAGTTTTTATGTATTTTTGCCTTGCTGCGAAGTGAGAAGGGAATTAATTGGACAAGAAACGTATCTCTAATGAACTTAGAGGAAATAAGTTAAAATAAAATGCAGCAAAAAATGTGTATAATTTAATAGGCAGCACAAGGGAAATCATGTGGTGCCCACTTCAGATTTTTCGTACTAATTTTATTGTCGGAATGACCAATTAGTCGCTCTTTGGGCACTATGTGAACTTGGATTTTAAAAATTATTTTAAATTCGAGTTTTCAATTTCAGTCGAATTTTTGCAGGAAAGTCTTTCTTCAGGGCTAATAATCGGAAATATACGGTAATCATTTTTAAATTAGAAAAATGAGAAACTGCTCAAATATGTTAAGTAATATTTATTTCTGCAATACAATTTATGGGATACAGGTATTGCTTCTTTAGTGATATATATTTTAGTTTAAAAAATCATTTTAACACTCATTACTATTCACATAAATTTGACTGCTGTTAGTAATTTGTCTGATTAACTTAGTTGAGTTCAATTGAGTTTCAAGCTGACACACAGCATACAAAATATCAAAATGCTTGCGTTTTTCCTATTTTAATAAAATCAATCATTTACTAAAGATGACTATATTGTGCAAATTTTGTTAAATGCAATGTAAATATCAAAAATATAAACCATAAAAATCGTTTAGTCTTGCTCAGTAACGATATTAAAGCATAATGTATCAAATCTTTATCAGTACAATGAACCGTTCATACCTTTATCAATTTTCACATGTTTTTCCTTCTTTTCCCACACTCATTGGTATTTGTGATAATACAAAATTATTTCATTTATATAATGCATGACTTCGGTTATGCTGATTTTTTTTTTTTTTTCACGGACTTAAATATCGATGGTTTTTTTTTTTTTTTTTTTTTTTTTTAGTCCAAAGGGATTTGAATCCCGAAGGACTATTAGTTTCGTTTTGGCATTTTGCGTCGGACTCATAACTGTCGGTTCACTTTTCAAACTGTTGCCACAAAATGTTAGAGTCCTGCATTATATTTGAAGAAATTAAATAATGAAAAATCTGCATAAATGTATGTATATTTCTCGTATTGTGATAAAACAACGGTACATAGAGTCATCGAATTTTGAATAACGTAATCCTCCAACGAATATGAGCATGTGGAAGACCAAATTTGAAATTTGAAATTTGTTTTATGATCGATTTCCTATTTTTTAAAACTTTGACGAATTTTTGATTAACAAACTCAAGGATTTCAAAGCGAGCAATGGCAACGTTGTGCAGAAAAAAAACATTTTTATCTCCAGCGCGTGTGAGTCTCTGTATCGGAAATTCTAAAGATATGCTCGTTTTAAAACTATTTTGCGATATTGCTGTTGCACTGGATCTTATGGTTTAAGTGCGAGGAACATGATATTTAATAAAGAAAGGTAACACACAAAATGTTAAAAAACGCCCCTTTGGACGTAATTTAAAATCTGAAACATTTCAGATTTTTTTTTTTTTTTTTTTTTTTTTTTTTTCTCTTATAACTCAAAAAATGTCTCCGAAAGTCATTTCTGTCTTAATAAATAACATTTGGAACCTGTCATCAAAACAGAAGACGGCAAAAAAGGCAAGATGTGTGATATATCGGGAAAATAGATTGTATGGAGGAATAAACTAGATAATGAAGTCTACTGACTAGACAGGTTGTTCGGATGACAGAAACGTGATTCCTATGCAATTTAGAGAGCAAAATTTTGGAAGATTATTGTTTACCTTTTCGTTTTTTCAATACTTTTTCTTAAGAATCTGAAAATCAAACGGCACATCGGATAACATTTGAAGATTACTTTTTAGGAGCGATTAAAATCTCTCACCTACGTTAAAATCTTAATCTCAATGTGCTATTTATTCAAGATGAACATTTGAAATAAAGATATAGACGTTCCCATTTTTATTTTGACTACAGCCGTGTTTCAAAAACATTCGTTTAACCCTTTGACGCGCGGTGGTCGCGCCCTGAAACCACCAATTTTCGAATTTTTTTCTCCTCTTCCTTCCGAAATTTTTGAGTGAAAATCAATTGATTATTGATCTTTTACTCTAAATAACACAAATGAATGCAGAATCATACATGTTTTAGGTCTTGGTACTTCAAATCGGATGCCTTTAAAGTTCGTTTTCAATGAGACAAAATAACTTCCCGTATTCATAAAACAACTTCAACAAACAACAAATTTAAATTTCAAAAGTTATTCATCGCACATCATGATTTCTATCATAAACAATAAAAAATAACCATAATTAAAACTATTAATTTAAAAAAAAAAAAAAAAAAAAAAAAAAAACACTGAAATTTTTCAGATAAATTACGTCCAAAGGGGCGTTTTTTTTTAACGTTTTGTGAGTTACCTTTATTTATTAAATATCATGTTCTTTGCACTTAAACCATAAAATCAGTTCAAGAGCAATATCGCAAAATAATGTTAAATTGAGCATATCTTTAGAATTTCCGATATACACAGTCTCGCGAGCTGGAGATAAAAGTATTTTTTTTCTATATAACGTTGCCATTTTCTCGCTTTTAAAGCATGAGTTTGTTAAATCAAAATTCGTTAAAGTTTTACAAAAATAATTTAAATCTATAATAAAACAAATTCCAAATTTGGGATTTCAGATGCCCATATTCGCAGTAGGATTTCGTCATTCAAAATTCGATGGCTCTATGTACCATTGTTTTATCACAATGCGAGAAATAGACAATCATTTATGCAGATTTTTCATTATTTAATTTCTTCAAATATAATGCAGGACTCTAACATTTTGTGGCAACAGTTTGAAAAGTGAACCGACGTTTATAGGAGTCCGACGCAAAATCGCAAAACGAAAACAATAGTCCTTCAGGGACAAAAGCCCCTTTGGACTAAAAATCCTCTATATGTATGGCATTTGCTTTGTGGTTTCAGGGCGCGATGACTGCCAACACCTTCTTTAAAGAGAAGCCCACCTACGAGATCGTGACGTCACAAACTGGCGGCTGACAATCGCCGTTGATGTTCCTAAAACGTACTCGCTGTACCTCCTGCTGTGATAGCTGCTTCGCTGCTATTGGTTAGAAGACTGAAAACGTAACATATCTATTTATCCCTGGAGCTTCCAGCCAAAGAATCCTTTGTTTCAGCGTCATTTGTTTAGTCACGTGGTAAAGCTTCTCGTTCAAAGTGGCATGTGTAGCCTTGTATTAAAAAACCTCTTATGGCCTACAGCGGTAATGGTTTAATCCTTCAGTTAATGGTTTAATCCTTCCTTAAAAAATCAGTTAAGAAGTTATGAGGTGATTTTATGTACAATAGAATTAATTCATATGTTAGTATATATTTATACTTTATGCAATACACACTTGAGAAAATACCGCATCATTACAAAGGAAGGAAAATGGGTTATTTTATTAAGAGGGTTATATAAATATTCTATTTTGCTAATGAAGTGTTGGAAAAACAATATTTAACATAGTTTTTTAATGTTTTATCATGATACAACTAAATTTTTAAGAACGAGATTGCAAAGCTTACAATTATAACATACACCTAAATTTTTCTCAGTGTTCACCCTGAGATGGAATCCGAAGATATTGTTAATGATTGACTAGCAATGTAGTGATATAAAAAAAGCACATGTGGGATCTTTTCCTTTACTGGTTAACATTTGCCAAACAGTTTACAGCAAAATATATATGTCTACGTTGCCATTAAATTAAATATAACCTTTGAATCTCTCATAATATTATTTTTGTTTTAAAAGTAGCTGTTGTAAGTAAGTTAAAAGTAGCTGTAACCTTTAGTATGCATAAGGTATTAAGGAATATACTTTTTAGACATAAACATTGCTTGGATTATCTTAAATTTTCATTTATATTTTAAAATATACAGTGTCATTTCCATTACCTATTTCTACTTTTTTTTAAAGGATGGGGATTATCTGGAACTGTGACAAATTGCATTTCGAATATATCTTAAATTTACCATTAATATTTTAGACTACATTTTACACCAATATTTAGGTTTGATGATGATTGTTCTCCCATTAATGGAAACATAGCGATAAGTTTTTGTGTTTAAATATATTAAGTTATTAAATTAAAATTACTGTGTTTAATTCCATCTTTAACAAGAGCTGTAAGATACACGGAATTTTAGATTCTTACCACAGATCCACTGAAAAGTGATGAACTCATTGACAACTTTGAAGAGCATTTGCAAACTCGTTGGTGAGTTAGGAGAGGAATGTTTGTTTGCATATCTTTATATTTACTTCAACGATGCATCCACCACCACCTATTGTTTTACATTCTTCTTTTTCCGTACAAGACGCACAATTCTAGGCTTTTTTTTTTTTTTTTTTTAACCGTTGTTCTACCTATAAATAAGAAAATTGCAAATTTGCACCAGAATCCTAAAATGAGAAAGGAAAGAGATGCATATGATCCCTTTTATGCTGTATGCATGTAGAAAGCTGCGTCACCTAAGATTTCATCAGAGATAACAAAAACTTCAGTACATGGTCCACTAGGAGGGATCATAATTTCCAACCACACTGGTGAAAATATCTGAAGAAGTGCTGTCTGGGAGGTTGCTATGTGTATACTTGGGTTACCACATAAATGTTTTTTAGTGAGTGTAGACTATCAGTACCTTTTTCACAGCATTTTGGTGAAGTTCAGATAATTAGAAAGTACCAAATTTCATCATTTTAGAATCATTTTGAATAAGTTATACACTTTGTGAGTGATGAACAAAAATTAATATACTGTGCTTCCCTCAAACCAATTTTCTTTTTCTCACATAATGATTTATATGCATATATCAAAACTTTACTATTGCAATATGCTTTTGGAATCATTATAATTTCATTCTATGAGATTTTTACTATCCCATGACGTAGCGACTTGAAACAAAAAAACAACAGTTTTCGTTTTCATTATTTTTTAGCAAATCAGAAAGATCCATATTATAAAATGAGAAAACTCTAAACAAAAATGAATAGAAAATTACATACAATTATCAGAAGTCTATGTACATGACTGTTACAATTTGTAGGCATCATTGCTGGAAAAATAGCTACTCTAAAAAATCTGAGGTTAATCAATAGGTACTTTGTAATTACATTATCATTTTACATGATATTTATATTTTAAAAAAGCACTATTTACTTAATCTGGTTTTCCTATAGGTGGTGATGCTTAAGCAATAACTCACTATTTGACTCATTGATTAAGATAACATCATGTATGTATGACTGTTTAAATTATATTACTCTTCAGTTCAAAAGTAGTGCTAATTACGTACTTTCATGTTAAGCATCATAAGGAGTTTTTAAATGACCATTGTTCAGCTAAATTTGGTAGAAAAAAAGTGCAGCACTCGTGTGTTGCATATTCAAATAACCTAACACAAAGCTCGTTAAACATTATAAGTGACTACAGCGCTAGGTGCTAAATTTGCAATAGGAAGGAAATAATATAAATTATTTTTTTCCAGATGAATCTTAAACATCAACACCATCAAGGTCCCATCCATGTCTCATCAAAAAACTCCACATTATGTCATGCATTATGCATCCCATACAGGTCTGAAACAAGTGTAATCGTATGGTGCCATTACTTCCAGTTGCCTTCTGTTAATGCTATTGGTGGCCAGACACCTGTATATTGGCAATGGGCAGCAGACATAGAAACGTCAAAATTTTTAGAATTTTGGCAGGAATGGAATGCATATTTGCAAGCAGCAGTTATTCATTAGGGTGATAAAATGTCTAGCTCTGCTTCGCTAGCAGCCAAGCAGTAAAGTATTGAATACTGATAATTAGACAGGGTTCACATTCTGGCAAACGGGTTGGCTGCACA